AGAGAGAGAGAGAGAGAGAGAGAGAGAGAGAGAGAGAGAGAGAGAGAGAGAGAGAGAGAGAGAGAAAGAGAGAGAAAGAGAGAAAAAGACGTTTAAAAGAGTTAATAAAAGACATTTCCTCATTACACATAACATAGTTTATGAACATTGTCCTGTCTCGGCCTTGGTATTTTATACACGCGTGATTATTGCCTGTCCGCGATTCTATTCCATTTTATTTCACGTAAGATTTAGGCGAATCACGAAATTGGTCTACGAAACTGGAAGAGAAACGAAATAATAGGAAGAAAAAGGAAAAAAGAAAAGGAAAGAGGAAGAGCTGAGAAATGATGATGATAGATAGATGATAGAGATGGTTGAGAGCAGAAGCAGGAAAACGAAATGGGGAGAAAGAGAACGTTACTCGTAAAAGATGCGCGGTGATCGTTTGTCGAATATTACGTGGAAATAACATAAAGAATTGTCTATTGGTGCAAAATTTGTTCGGGAATAATATATCTCATGTTAGCGCTCTTAGAGTAAAGTATAAAAATAGGAAAGATATCAGTCGAACTGTAAGCCAAATAAATAATAACAATACACGCATTACACGAGCAGCAGAGATATCTCGATGAATCGGTCAAATTCAGTCGACATTTTTGGCGCACCTTGGTGTAATCGTGAGCTCCGCAAACTCGCTCGATTGCCTTATCGTAGCTACATTATCATCATCATCATCATCATCATCACTACACACATGAGATCTGTGAATTTCATTTCGGAAAAATGAAAATATGCAGGTTGTTTTGGAACTATAGGTAAAAACTTAACTGGCTAACAGAAGTTGGAAAAATAAACGAAAGAAAAGAAAGTCTTAATAAACATATTCAGCTTTTTATTTTGTTAGCTGCGTTTTTCTTGTACGGGATTGTTACATACTCTGAGGAACAACTGATTACAGACTTGAGAGTCCTGAAACAAACTTGAGAATGTTCAATAACTTACAGGCAACCTAGACACTTGTCGATTTTGTTTTCTCGACGGACACGCATTTTACGAATCGATGTGCAAACGGTAACGGTAACGGTGTAACTTGGCCAGCAAAATAAAAAGCTAAATATTAAAAAAAAAAAAATGATTAACCTCTTGCGGACTTATGTTTATCAAGACCTTCCTATTCGTTTTTACTTCGTCTGTGATTCTGAAACAGCCCATGTATAAAATTCAATCCAACTACAGCAACATCAATGAAAAGAAAGACATGAAGAAATTATTCGCACGAGTTGAAACGAAAGCAAGTAGCACTTTAAACACTGGCGCAACACTACAGAGCGCGTGTACGCGATACAGCTATTATATACACATACGATATAATTCTAAACTTCTTAAGGTATGGTCGCTTGTAGACAGCGCGCTCATGCTACAATTCGAACAAATCGCGTCTTTCCGCTTCTCTTGTCATCGATGTTAATGCAGAGAGACGAAAGAGAAATTTTTGCGGAAAATAACAACTGCAATCATAATAATTACATCTAGAAATTTTGTTTGTATTAGAAAAATGTCCCGACAATCTGCCTCTGTATCTGATTGAATACGTTCGTCAGATTGTGCACTTTGATCGTCCAATTTTGTCGATTCGTCGGTCTCGAGTGGCACCGTATAGCAATCCTTTACCGTTTGCGAAGCTCCGAAGTGTTCGACAGTCGACACATGAATACACACAAATGACGTCTGTCCACGATGACGACTTGATTGAAACGACTCGCTGTCATTACAATCCCCATGCAATGGTAGACATACAACTTGCCACGTTGCCTACACAGCTGCACTCGATACTATCATACACATAAGGGAACATTTTGTAAGAAAGGATCGTTGCCGGACCGGAATGATACGAGATATGACGAATCGCAGATCTCTAATGAACGGAAGATTGTGTCACTTAGGAGCGACAATCCTTGCAATTGTTACAACTTACTGTTAATTACACTTACTTAACAATTATCATCCAATTATCATACATCTAAAATAATTAGATTCTCTCGCGTATCTATCGATGTACATATAATTTGATTATTACATATTTGCGATATTTCAACATGTGTTTGATATTAAGCTTTCATTCTCGCTTGTTCGCTCGCCTGTTCGTTCGCTTCTTTCTTTCTTTCTTTCATTCATTCGTTCGTTCGTTCGTTCGTTCGCTCGTTCCTTCATTCACGTCGTTTAGGCAAAGTCCATACATCTTCGCAGCGAATTTTAAGCGCTACCCGTTTACAGGCTGCGCGTGAGATATCCGCGGACGTCAGGACGAATTCTAAAGAATTGCGAGCATTTTGTAGTCGGCTTGATCAAACGTGTGCAATTTCGACCCGGATATCGATAGATCAAGAAGTAACGGTGTTGCTCCTCGAAGTTGCATCCGTTAAAGAGATAAAAGTATATGGTTACACAGTACCACCCGCGATTGTACCGTAAATCCTTGACATAAGATATTCATAATTTTCGCCATTACCGTGATATATGGTCAGGCTTAAGGGAACGCTACGCTTTGACATTATTTCCTTATTTATTAACAACAATCAATTTCTCTATAATTGCTAACAATTTCGTACAGTAGCAAATTCGTACAGTAAAATATTGAAATACCGAATTCTCACAATGAAGAAGATAACACGCCATAAGCGTGTACCTTAAGCCAGCCCTATACATACGTTATATTATCGATAACGAAAGGCGAAGTGAATGAAACGATTCGCTTTGCTAGTTGATGCCGTTACAACCATCAGAACAAGACATAAAATGTAGTTTAAAACGCGCATGTAGTACGTATGTACATACATACACACATATATACATACATACATACATATATACATAATACATATATACATACATACATCTATACATACATACATCTATACATACATACATACATACATACATACATACATATATACGTACATACATACATACATACATACATACATACATACATACATCCATGCATGCATGCATGCATGCATGCATGCATACATACATACATAAGTACATAAAACATCGATAGCTTCGGTCAAAATTAGAAAGACACTGTACAAGTCTCGTCGATTTTCAGGATTCCTCTTAGTCCCTCTCCCTATTCAGAGTCTGGCTCGCAGGCAACGTTTGACGATAAAAGCGAGTCGAATGTAAAACGGGGGGATATATATATAGTCTCGACTAATTATAAATATATATCGAAAGGAAGACTCGCGTACTTTTGCTTCTGATGGGCAACGTTGAAACGTACAGGATATCCTGAGAACGACAAAAATTCGTTTTCGCAATGCTTCTTAATGCACCAGCGAAGTGTACCAGCGTATATCTGCTCTCTCGATGAGTCTTCTCGATTAAATCATTAAGATATTGTCGTTAGGACGTTATACATTGCTGTTTGTGACGTATTATAAAGCCGCTTTACTTTCTCCATTGAGTCCTACAGGGAGTAAATGTGTCGTCATTTGTCGTGCTATAATTCACTCATGTAGCCTAATTTCTGTGTTGCGCGGCTTTTGAATCGTAGCCTCGCATATTGTTGTGTAGATCGAGCGCGCGCGCGCCTGCGAGATAAATAGAGAGAGATAGAGAGAGAGAGAGAGAGGAGAGAAAGGGGGAGCACCGATAAAATCAAAAAGCACAATTAACATAGCGTTATTCTCAAACGCTGCTGTTCAGTGAAAAGAAAGATATCGTAGGTTGAAATAATATTTGAATAGACAAAGCTTTATGAAAATATATTATTGTCAAAAATACGAATCTCTGTTCACGTCTCCTCTAACTGTATTTTCGCGTCAAAACGCTCATATGACACAATGCTCGCGTTGTCGTACGCTTTACGGGCAATCTAAATACCGATTACATAGATACGACTTTTCGTAATGTGCTTTGTGAACCATGGTGCACCGACGGTAGCAGACTACTAAAGATTGCGTAGACTAAGAGAGTTTTCGAGAAGAAAAAAGCGGTGTTTTATATAATATGTACAGATATAAAAAGAAATGATAAGAACAATATCGGATTTTCTTTATCTGCAGCTTATCGAAAATCCCTTTTGTAAATAGTCGAAAATTTATACATTTACCGTCGAAAATGAGCATCTTAATCAGGCGTCACGGCAGTGTTCTATTGGAAGTGCGATATGAGCTGTTTGTTTTAAAAGTATTGAAAATAAAATTCGAAAAGTCTCGAGAGACACTCAGTACATGCGATACGTAACACCGATTTGTTACTCAAATTAGCAGCACTTTGAAATTCGACTTCTATGTCCCTCTGTCAATAAGCTGCCCACCTTTCTGGTCATTTGAAAGATCTGTAACTCTATCCAAGACTGCAGTCTTCCTCGACGAAAATAATACATAGAAAGCGTTATGTTACCATGCAATATGAGCATCGTATTTACGAATCTTATGTATCGGCTCGTTGAAAATTCACAAACGATACGACAAACGAGATAACTTCGACTGGTTGAGCGTAATAACGCAGCAAAGTAATTGTTATTCTTGTTACTTCCTTCTCTCTCTTTCTCCCTTCCTCCCCCCTCTCTCTCTCTCTCTCTCTTTCTCGCTTCGTGCTGGCCCAAATTATGCGCACGTACACGTGTGCGTACATATATGTGGGCACGTGCATATATAGAGCGCGGGCGGAGGAGGACATGTACATTTATCGGCATTAATGCAGTCCTACTTAGATGTAGGTATTTACAGTCGACACTCTCTGAGCGCGGTTCTTTTATTCGCTTTACAATTCGCGTAATGACCGAGCGGCGCGGCGAGTAATCTCGACCGCACTCGGGACACGTCGAAAATATTTCATCTTTTTCACTTCTACATTCGTACGTAAAAGTGTATAAACACTACGAACGTTGATACGAAGCGTCGTGATGTACGGGATGAGGCACTTGAAACTGTGGCGCGCACTTTGACTTATCGTTAATATTATCATCTCTCAAGAAAAACATTTTCTTTTGAACTTTTGAGACAGACGGAACTTTTATCCGATCCGTTTTTCTCTAGAGGTAATAATATTTGGTATAAAGTAAGGTGACAGTTTTGAGTGCTTCAACCTATATGTATGTATACGAATATCTACAATGTTTTTCACGTCTTCTTTGGTAGCAACATTATTACGTATAGCATATAATAATTCGCGCGCGCGTGTGTGTGTGTGTGTGTGTGTGTGTGTGTGTGTGTGTGTGTGTGTGTGTGTGT